AGGAAGGAGGGCTCTGGAGCAAACTGTTTTGTGCTGTAGCCCAATCGCTCGCTCACAACTTTCATGCCAGGAGCTCACAAAGTAGAATTTTTGCCCACACCTTAGAGGGAGCACTGCGGCCGCAACCAGTCCGAGGGGGGACCCCCCCACACACCAGCCTTCCGCTCCCCCGACTCTTCTCCGCTTTCCTCTCCTGCCTCCTCCTCGGATGCGCTGGATGTGGCCCGCCGCCAGAGGGTGGCGCCCTGAAGCTGGATGAGAGGAGGCGGCCGGCAGGCGGGGCGGAGCGCATCGCGGCACTGCGGGGGTGGGGAGGCTCTGCGCCCCTTTGCGAGGCCAGGGAGAAGCCTGGCTCTGGGGCTTGAACACTGCAAAGGAAGGGACAACCCCCCCCCTCTACCTGGGCTGGTCCCCCTCCGACAGAAGCTCTTCCTCTGGGCTCTGAAGTTGTGATTTACTAGTCGCAAATTATGCTCCCTCTAAGCTGTGGAGTCTTGTGAGCAAAAATCCTACTCTGTGAGCTCCTGGCATTAAATGTTGTGAGACAGCGATTTGGCTGCTGCATAATCAATTCGTTTGCTCTGGAGCCCCATCCTTCCTGAGCCAAGACAAAAAATTATTTATTTCATTTATTTATTTATTAGATTTATACCCCGCCCTCCCCAACGGGCTCAGGGCGGCTTACAACAGAGGCAAATGCCATCACAGACAGTTAAAACAACGCTAAACAATCATTTAACAATATAAAACAATCATTGAGTAAAGTGTGGTGCTCTTGATGCCTGAGCCGGAGGCTAAGGAATGGTGAGCTGGCTCACACTAACTCAGCTGAGAGGGAACACTGGGCACCACCACCCCCCGCCCAGTTTTCAAGGCAAGAGGCGCTCAAGGTGGTGTGCCCTGTGGCCTGCCTCTGCGTAGCCCCCCCCCCACTTCCTCCACGGTCCCCCTTCCAAGCACTACCGGGGCAGATCTGGCTTGGCTGCAGAGGTCTGAGGAGATCAGGTTGGCTGGGGTCTAGGGCCCGGGAGATCTGGGTTCTTTAAGTCCCCATTCCTGCCAGTGGAAGCTGCCTGGGTGCCCTTGGGCCAGCCACACCCTCCCGGCCTAGCCTACCTCACAGGGTTATTGTGAGGATAAAGATGAAGGAGCATTGGGTGTGGCCTATTATGTTAATGAGCTCCTGCTGGGCGTGGCCAACCTGGGAGCCAGCTGGAACTCCTTTCCTGTGCGTTCCTGCCCAAAAATAGCCCTGGATATGCTAGATTTCTAAGCGTGGGGATTTCCCTCCCAGGTAGCCCATTCCTTCACCTGAGCTTCTGTCCCACTGCAGTCTGGAGGAGGAGGAGACTGGATTTATACCCCACCCTTCACTACCCAAGGGAGTCTCAGAGCGGCTTGCAAACTCCTTTCCCTCCCTCTCCCCATGACAGACACCCTGTGAGGGAGGTGGGGCTGAGAGAGCTCTTTCGAGGACTGCCCTTGAGACAACAGCTCTGAAAGAACTTGTGACTGACCCAAGGTCACAACGGCAGCTGCACGTGTAGGAGTGGGGAATCAAACTCGGTTCTCCCAGATCAGAGGCTGCGCTCCTAACCAATACACCAAAAAGATGGGATCCAGACACAGTTGAATGAAGTTTAACACTTGTTGGTTTGGAGGACTAGGCAGTAGGGGAGTGGGCTGGCTGGCTGAGAGAGAAGAAACCGTGCAGGGAGCATTTCCTTCCCACGGTTGTCTGAGGTCTGTAGCCTCTGGAAGGACGAGGGGGTCTGGCTGGATCTCTGGTCCCCAGGGGAACAGGGATGGGGCTCGAGTGGGTTCCATGGAAGCCCCGGCAGGCCCAAGGCTCCTGGGTTCAGAGTGGGGTAACATTTCTGCAGATGGGAGCCAGATCTCCAGGGCACTGTGGCAACGGGGCCATTGCGTGGAGACTTCCTCCCCCTCCTCCAGGCCACTGGTCAGCTTCTGAAGAAAATGAAGAGTAGCCCATAGGTCTCAGGAGTGCTTTAATGTGGAGCAGCGGTCCATCAGTGGCTATTAGCCACAAGGTATAGAGAGGAACTCTCGGTCTGGGGCAAGGGATGCTCCTTCTTCTTGGTGCGGGGGGGGGGGGTCAACAGTGGGAGGGCTTCTAGTGTCCTGGCCCCACTGCTGGACCTCCTGATGGCCCCTGGTATTTTTGGCCACTGTGTGACACAGAGTGTTGGACTGGACGGACCATTGGCCTGATCCAGCATTGGCTTCTCTTATGTTCTTATGTTCTTATGTGCTAGTCACAGTCTGCTGCATGATAATGTTCAAAAGGCGAACACAAGAAGTGTGGGGGGGAAGGGGGCCGTATTTGGTGCCACACGGGGGGGCTGGGGACATGCTGAACTCCACTCCACGCTTGCCCCAAGCCTACTTTTGGGACTGCCTTTCAGGAAAGATAGCAACAAAGGAGAGTTGGGGGAAACCTGGGAAACCGAGACGGCTGGCGGAAGCTCAATGATTCTGAAGCCAATTTTTTTTAAAGAACCTTTTTTGCCGTGTGCAGGGCCGGAGCTCCGGAGGGAAGCGACCGGAGTGAATGACCGTCATCTCCTCAAGCACAAGAGGTCTGTATTGAAAAGTGGTTTTTAAAGTTTGGTGGACAACCAGTGCTCCCTCTAAGCTGTGGAGTCTTGTGAGCAAAAATTCTACTTTGTGAGCTACTGGCATTAAAGTTGTGAGGGAGCGATTTGGCTGCTACATAAATTAGTTTGCTCTGGAGCCCCATTCCTTCCTGAGCTAAGACAAAAACGTGTGAGCTGTCGGCTAAAAATCTGTGAGCTAGCTCACACTAACTCAGCTTAGAGGGAACACCACATGTACCTTTAGTGGGAAGTATCCTCCGTAAATTATGCACAGGCTGGAGAGAGCTGACAAAGAGAACTTTCTCGCACTCTCCCAAAATCGTAGAACTTGAGGGCTTCCAATGCAGCTGACGGGCAGTAGGTTCAGGACAGACAAAAGGAAATACTTCTTTACACAGAGTGATCAAAATGTGGAATCTGCACCCTGACTTGGAGAGCCCAGGCAAGCCCAATCTCATCAGATCTCGGACGCTAAGCAGGGCCAACCCTGGCAAGAACTTGGATGGGAGACCTCCAAGGAATACCAGGGTCGGGAGCAGTGTTCCCTCTAAGCTGAGTTAGTGTGAGCTAGCTCACAGGTTTTTAGCCTCTAGCTCACACATTTTTGTCTCAGCTCGGGAAGGAGGGCTCCAGAGCAAACTGATTTCTGCAGCAACCAAACTGCTCGCTCACAACTTTAATGCCAGCTGCTCACAAAGTAGAATCTTTGCCCACAAGACTCCACAGCTTAGAGGGAACATTGGTCGGGAGGCAGAGGCAGGGAATATCAAGCCACTTCTCTGCATGTTCTCTGTGCCTCAGTAGGTGGTCATCAGAGGTTGCTATGACTTCCAGGCACAGGCACAGACACTCACACACATAAATGCAAAAATACCCCCCAAAATGTGGAATTTGCTACCAGAGGGTGTAGTGATGGCCACAGGCACAGACGGCTTTCATAGGGGATTAGACAGAGTCATGGAGGAGAGGTCTATCAGTGACTACTAGCCATGGCGACTAAGGAGAACCTCTGTGTTCAGAGGCAGTCAACCTCCGGGGAAGGCCAGGGCCTCCATGCCCTGTTGCTGGCCCTCCAGAGGAACTGGCTGGCCACGGTATGAGACAAGG